CTTCACCTTTTTAATTTGAGAATTTTCAAATCTACATTAAAATCAAGATAGTACAATAAACACTGATGCACTCTTTTCCTAGGTTCACCAACTGTTCATATTCATCAATTGTTAATAATTATTGACAATATCAATTGTATACATCCACTTTTTTGCTGAACCATCTGAGAATAAATTAAAGACATCAAAACCCTTCACCCTTAAGTACTCCAGCATGCACCTTTCAGGCATAAGAACATTTTCCTACACAATCACGCTACATCACATTTAAGAAATTTGATCGTAAAAAACCTTCCTGGGGGCACCTGGGTGGCTCAGTTGGTTGAGCTTCTGACTCTTGGTTTTGACTCAGGTCATGATCTCAAGGTTGTGAAACTGATCCCTGGGTGGAGCTCTGTGCTCAGCAAGGAGTCAGCCTGGGATTCTCCCTACCCCCACCCCACTCCCCCACCCCCCACCGCCACCCCCCACCCCGCCTCCTCTCCTCCTTGTGCAAGCTCTCTGTCTCTCAAATAAATAAATAAATCTTTTTTTTTTTTTTTTAAAAAAACATCTTTCCTCTAGGACAAATCTTCCATTACATTTATTCATTCCCATCCCTCCAGCAAAGGCAAATCATAAGGATTTTTGTTGGTCCCGGGGTTGTTTTGAATTCAAGCCAGAGGTTCTCTGGGAGTCAGGGCAACTTGGTTTCTGGAAGCGTGACTACTTCACAGTCATTGTAACAGAACAAACTAGCAGAGGAGAAAGACAATTCTTAACATGCTCAAGCTCACCTCTCTAGCTCTTCTACAAGAAGGCCGCACTTCATTCAGACTGATTTGCTCCTTCTTCGGCATCTCTTTACGTACCTGGCATGCTCACCTGTACCCCTCTTTTCCGTTTCCACTCTAAAGCCTTTCTCTCCCCACCTGTGGGAAAGCTGCCACAGCCTCAGGTTTCACCGTGTCTGAGGACTTCCCTGAAGATGTCAGGTCACCGCTCCGTCAGCCTTCTCTGAATTGCTGTGTCCCCCTTCTATGAGTCTGTTTACTGAGAATTTTCTTACGTTGTCGTTCAAATTATTTTAGATGATTTGTAGCAAACAGGACTTAGACTCTGTATGGACAAGGTTTTAGAGAGCTTAATAAGTGCTTGACATATATTTATTGGTTGATGATTTTATGTATGGTTGTGTGTCTTTTTTTATTTATTTTTTGAAGATTTTTATTTATTTATCTGAGAGAGAATGAGTGGGGAAGGGGCAGAGGGAGATGCAGGCTCTGTGAGTGCAGAGCCTTGACATGGGGCTCCATCTCAGGACTCCAGGATTATGCCCTGAGCTGAAGCAGACAAATAACTGACCCAGCCACCCAGGCAGCCCTGTAGTTGTGTGTCTTTGATTAGCAACGACATTGTGCTGACTCAGTGCCTTTTACTCAATGACATCCAGCATTTGTCAACAACAGAAAAATAAGTTTTTACAACTGACGCACTTACTGTCAATTGCATTCAGGTGCTTCGTATTATTGGCTTGTCTTTGTCAAAGGTACAGATCCAGCGTTTGAGTCCATCAGTAGCGGCATCTTCATTGGGGCACAGGTTTCAAAGCCAGCTGGATGCCAGGTGCCATGACATCATTCAGACTGCTGTGTGGCCAGAATGATTCAGATGGTTAAGTAATTGAAATAACTGGATTGTCTCATGGTTTGCTTTGCTATTTCAACTGTATTATTGTTTGATTTGAGAAACAATACACTCCTCAACGGCTTTCCTTCTGGAATCTATATTGTTTAAATTATGAATTGACCTTTTAATTGGTTCAACTGGACTATATTGTGTCAACAGACACGGAAAGTTTCCTAAAATTGTGAATCTTCCACTCAGAGATGGCTGTTTAACTCCGGTACATTTCTTAAAATTTCTAGTAAGGCTTGTTTCCCATTTCAGGATCATTTTCTATTTTTTGCATTTTTTTTTTTTTCTAAAATGCCAACTAAACTTTCAATCTCCCCAAACAGCACGATTTGTTTAGTCATAAAGTGACTCCATTTTGATGACATGATTTTGGTTAGAATTACAGCCGGAGGGGTTCTCTTTAACTCATTTTCAAAGGTGCTCTTGAAGGGACTTTGCTATTATCCTCCAAGTTCGGATGCGCTTTTGATTGTTGTATTTCCGGAAATCACAAATAAATTATTCCCTGGGGTCAAGTGTGCTTTCCTTAGCAGTTTTCAGGGAATCACGTCCTGCTCGCCATATCCCTGTGCTGCGGCAGGTGGACGTTTGAGTCACCAGGGTGACCACCTTGAAGCAAGCGTCTCCGAGCTGTAGACCTTACCCTGCTCTTGCTTTCTGTAGTGAGGAAGTCGGCTATGTTTTGAACACATGGACTTGATGGTTAAACATATCAATCACATCTCGGCTTTTTCGACACACCCACCTAAATTTACATTCCACTGAGTTTAGTAGAAATGAAGCAAAACAAATACTATGGGTTTCAAGCCGTCAGGTTAGTTACCTTGACCTAAGTGACAGTCACAGTAAGTAGTTTGAAGTGTTCATGGTCCAACCAGTTTGAGGACACCTCTCTATAGCACTTCATTCATTATAAGTTCAGAAAGGTCAATTAATGTGACTCAATCTATTCTAATGCGATGCTTTCTCATCATTTGCCATTGTTTACATTTATCTCTTTTAAACTCTGCTTCCATGCTATCTCCACAGTTTATTTTAATATTTGATAATGTATAGAACAGTGTTTTAGAATTGACACAATTCTTTGGTAAATGTCAAGCTTGTTTCCTCCTGAATCCTTGTCTCGTGCGAATTCATTTTCACAGTGATGTTGATGCCAGGGAGTGATAAGGATCTACTTACAGACCTCTTTGGGGACTTTAGCTTTCAGGAAACAGGAAAGCTGTTCCTGTAACACTTACCTTAAATACATAAATTGTGGTGAGCAGTTTAAATTATGTGAGTGGGCTAGCTTTTAAAAATTCCTTGAAATGCTTTGATATTGAACTTGGAGTCAAATAGGACATATTGGGTGGAGAGAAAATGGGATACAGTGAGGTTGTAAATCATCAAGGTCTACTGAATTAATATATTTTAATACAAGTCATAATAACAGAAGAATGGTGATATTTTATATTCTTCGACGATTATTTGAAAATTATCTGTTTCTTCTTTGCCTGCCTTTTCTGGTCTTTTCCAAGTCACTCATGTGAAAAGTCACTTATTTCTTAGAATAACCTCCCGTATAAGTTTTTAGCTAAGGATTGAAACATGGGCATTTTTATCATACCAAGATTATTTCCTTTCTTCTCTCTTTCTGCCTGCCTATGTCAAATGTCTGGGAAGACAGTTTCTTCCTTGACTAGATCCTGAAGGATGTTTGCTTGTTTGTTATCAAAACATAAACATTTCCCATAGCACGATTCTTTGTATTTGTCTTAAATTTTTTTGCTATAGTTTCATAGAAAAACAAATTTAAGGGAACTAAAATCTTTCTTGTCTCTTATCAAGCGGAGTCATCTTAAATTCTAATTTCAGTTTTTACAACACATTCCTGTTTTCCGAGTGACCTGTGGATTGCTCTTCTTTCCATACATTTTCACATCCATGTCAGTAAGTTTAGGTTTTTCTTGCCCATTTGACCAAAGTCTATCCTTATTGTCTTCTTCATCTCCTCCTCATTATCTTAACCACTTTTTATCAAGATCTCATTCTAGACAGGGTTTTAGGACCTATCTATATGGCTTATACTAGATTTACAACAACTTACAAGCTTTCCAGATAGGAAACTGAAGCTAAGATAGAGTGGTAGACCAAATAACAACCCCCCCCCCCCACCAAAAAACATCCACACTAATCTCCAGAACACAAAACATGTTTTACCTTATATGGTAAAAGGGATTTTGCAGCTGTAACTAAGGTTTGGACCTTGAGAGGGGGGAGATTTTTGAAGGGTTATCTGGGTGAGTCCAATCTAATCACATGAAATCCTTAGATACAGAAAACCTTTCTTGGTGAGGTTAGAGAGAAATGTGATGAAGAGGAAAGTTGCTGGCTTTGGAATCAAAGAAGAGACTACAAGGAGGAAAAAAATCAGGCAATCCTAGAAGCTAGAAAATAAAAGGGAAACAGATTGTTCTTTAGAGCTTCTAGAAAGAACACAGCCCTGTCAACAATTTAATTTTAGCCTGAGTCTCACCAACGACCAGAGCTGTTAGATAATAGATTTGTACCGTTTAAGCTAGTAAGTTTGTGGTAACTTGTTACAGCGGCAATGGAAAACTGGTAGAGAGAGAGAGGTTAAGTGTCTGTTTATGGTCACACAACATTTTAAGAGTTGGAGCCAAGATGTCATGGCTGATTGATCTACTTTGCCTTCCTCCATGCCATGCTGCTTTCTTAGTAGCCAAGAGAGAGAACTAATATTTCTTTCAGCATGCAGAGCTAAGTACATTTTCTTTATTTGTTTTTCTGTCCAGCCTCTGGGCTGTTAATTCATCATTGGTCTTGAATATCTAGCACGGTGTACACTTCTTAATAGAACCCAGTTTAGGAAAGAGAGAAGAGAAATACCCATAATCGGGGTGACTGTGCTATAGTACTCCACCAACAACGGGGTTGAGAAAGCAAGAGATGAACATTGAAAAACATACATAGAACCAATATCCGTCAAGTGGTATTTGCCAAGAATAAAAAAAAAAAAAAAAGGCCTTGAGTTCAACAACGTTACAGGAAAAGGCACATTGCATTCCAGAATGCCCTGGATGTTAAATTACAAGTTAAGTGAGTATCTAGTTTGTGTGACAAAGGCTGTTGCTGAATCTCCTACCCACACACCCAGCTCATTATTTCACTGTCTCCCTATTGTTCTATTTACTCAGGAAAAACAAAGAAGGTGATTTGTAAATATTGACTAAACAAAGGACACTTTAGAAAAGATTCCAAGAACTCCCTGTGCTTTCATTACCATGACACTGCCATGACACTGGAGTTACCTTCTAAAGAGGGGAGGGTCGTAGCTGACAGCGGTCCAGCTGCTCCCACAGCTTGAGAGACTGCCTTGCTGCAGGGACACATCAGGCCACAAAGCAGGTAACAGTGCAGCGGGAGTGGGCTGGGGCACGTGGTCAGAGGGTTGAAATCATTGCATAACCTCTTGTTTTGCACAAATACTTATGGAATACAGTCTCCTCTTTTCCACAGTGGGAATTCCTGAGTATTAGGTCTGAAGTCTGAATAAGTAAAGGACGAGTAAATACATAAACATCAAACAGCTTTTCTTCTGTAAGAAACAAGGTTATTAACTACTATAACAGAACACTAATGGTAACCATGAATTACCTCTTCATTTAAGAGGTGTTTTTTTTTTTTGTTTGTTTGTGTGGGTTTTTTGTTTTGTTGTTTTGTTTTTTTTTTGTTTTTGTTTTTGTTTTTTTTTTTAAGTAGACTCTACGCTCAATGCAGGGCTTGAATTCATGATCTGAGCTGAGATGAAGAGTCAGACACTCAACAGACTTGAGCTATCCGGGGGGGCCTTAGCAGTATTTTAAAAACAGTGTCCGTTCTCTATTTGTGATTCTTAAACAAAGGCTGATTCTGAATTTGGGGGAATGGCCTATTGACTCTTCAAGATTCAGTTTTTCTGAAATTATTCCATGATCACTTTGGGTGGGTATTGCCATCTTCCTCGGCCCTGCCCATGAGAACCGAGGTGGTTTCATCCAGACCCAAAGGCATCCTCCTACCAACACAAAACTAAAAGCACAACAGTATTAGAAAAAGTCAACTATCTTTAAAAAAAATTCTCATCCCGATATTCATTAGACGAAGCCTGTCCTTGGCCCTCTTTGCTAGCTGCTCACTTTTCTGATGTACTGGTGCAAGAAACAAGACGCCACCTAAGACATTGGCTCTGCCGTTCTAATTTTACCCCCATGTTCCAAGTGAGAGTGGAGATTACAGTTTCCTCTTGGTTGTGAAAACTTCTGTAGACTCTGTAAAAGAAGTTTCTATCTGAGACTGATCCAAGGACTCTTTAAGATGGGAAGTCTTGGGCCATTTGGAATTTGACATTTTACAACTGGAGTAGAGAGAAAATAAGGCAACAGAGAAGTAAATATCTGGTCTCACCCAAAGCTATCTTCACTGGACAGATCTGAATAAAGGTATTCACCTTGAATAATTGCCTATTGCCCTGAAGTATTTTAACTTGACAACAATTATTTATTTTAAAATCAATTTCTACAGAGCTTCTTACTGCATGGAAGATTGACATTTGTGTGTCTTTGCTTCTCTCTTTCAATTTATAATAAGCTTTAACAAATACAGGGCAGTGTATACCCAGAGATAGCTGTGTTCTATTTCTGGACATTTGAATGGCAGCAACTTCCTCTTTTAAAACAAAGACTTTGACTTCTTTCCAAATACCCTTTCATGCCAGGCTACTCAGTTCACATTGCCCTGACTTTTTGCTCCCTAGGCTGGGTCAGGCCATCCCATGAAGCACCTATACGAACTGGGGCTGACCCACATGTCCTGCTACTGCTCTCTTCTTACCACAAGGATGTAGGAGAGTGTATTTATTTGCTGCCCAATATCCACTCTTCTGTCTTCTGTTAGCCATATCCATCTTACCATCACAGGGGTGACCTCACTGTGAAATAAAGTCCAGAGTTAACCACAACTGAGGATGGAGACACATTCCTAATGAAACTGTCTGAGAATGTAGATCCAACCATGACTTTGCCCTGGAATTCTGAGTTATAGGAACCAAAGCTGTGTTTTTTTCCTCTTAGGTTTATTTGCAAAGCATTTTTCTCACTTGCAACTGAGTCAAGTCTTATTTTTATGAGTAGAAGGATAATATATCACAGAGGCTTTCTAATTGTATCTCGAGGATCCCAGAGTGAATGAAATGACTTCATTATTCATTTCAGAAAATAGGGTCTGGAGAGGTATCTGCACTATCATTTTTTTTTTTTTTGTGCGCACAACAGACATTACTAATCAATTGATATGGTGAGCTCTGAGTATTGCAAGAGGCCCCATCATGCACCCCAAGAAGGTGGGGTGGTATATAAAATGAACCTATCCTGATTCTAGTATCTTTCTGGTCAGAAAACAAAAAGAAAAAAAAAAAAAAAGGAAGTCTGCCTAGGGGATCAACTTGCCACTTCCTCGCACCCAGTAGTTAACACTGTCTGACCTCAGGGGCCATGGAAAACCCTATAGTATTTGCCCAAATCCTACTCTGTATTCTCTGACTCCTCAAATTTTCCATCAGAGCTTCAATATTTGTCTTTACATCTCAATGGTTGTTTATAATCTATGCATAAAGCATTTAAGAAACTTACAATCACAGTATCCTTTGGGGCAAAGGTCTAGAAAAAAATGGAATGGATGGTTAGATCTTATTTTTTATTTTGTTGGTTCTGCAGATTGGACTTTCAAAATAAACTTAGGTAAAACAAGCATAATAAGTTGGACTTTCTAACTTTATGCATGAGTTGATTTTGTTTTTAAAAAGGCAAGAAGATAATCTGTTTGCTTATTTGTCTATCATTGTATTTAAAAGCCAAATAATCACAGAATCTACAGGCATAGCCTTGTGCCCATTCATTCATTCAACGAGTATTTGAGGCTCTGCTTTATACTGGGTTTTGTACCAGGTCATAGGCACAGCTGTGACCCAGCAGACACTCTCTGCCTTCACAAAGCTTCCATTCCAGTGTCCAGAGTTTCTCTAAGCAACTCACCCAGATTTTCTCTTATTTTTATCACAGTGCTGGGAAGATGGTTTTATTTTATAGATGAGGAGGTTACAAAGCTAGAGATGATAATTTCTTTGCCCCATGTGTCAGAGTATTAAGCGGAGGAAGTGGAATCTGAGTCGAGGCAGTCTGACTCCTCGGGCTGCAGGTAACACCGGGACACCTACATGGCTCCCAATGTCTGAGAGAGAGTGTGCAAGTAATACCTATTATTGTTAAATGTCTTTAGGGAAAATGTACTTAAAATTGTCTTTCGATCACTTGAGTTTGGCCAAAGGATGTGAGAACAATTTTTCTGGAGCATAAGAAGGAAAGAGCAAGAAGCTAGAACTAAGGTGGCAGTGAGTAGAGGAAGAAGAAGACGAGGAGAAGGGGGTGAGAAGGAAAGAGGAGAAGGTGAGGAAGAGGAGGAGGTAGGTCACCTCTATGAAGGGAATGGTGACAGAACCAACACTGGCTTGGGTGCTTGGTCCTCGGTGGTTGGCACCTAACACACTACATCATTTAATTCTCACCACAGCTGTGGGTCACTCCAGAGCTCACATTCTTGCAGCTCAACCAGTCCTTGGACAGTTTTGTCTGGATTCATTAATTCATTTCATTTCTGGGGTGGACCAACCTAGCACCCCCCCTCCCCCCCCAAAGTGAGGATATGAAGATTCAGAGGGGCGGCATCTAGAGAGTGGTGCAGCAGGACTGGCCCTCTCTGGGAAGAGCATCCATACAAAGAATATTCACTTTGGAAACTTTAGTATTATTTGGTAGTGACATTTCTGGATGTAAAGTTGTGGTGAGCCTCAGGACTGGGTTCAGTCTTTTCTCAATGACTATAACAAAGAATTTAGTCTGCTGCCACAGAAGGTAGCATCTAACCAGGGAAACTAATGTTGAGCAGACAAGGACTTCCATGGACCGAGGCTTCCTGGATACGCCCAGCCCCTAGAAGCTGAGAGCACAGCTTTTTGTTTGTGGATTCCTGGTTTAATGGTGGGTGTGAGTGTATTTCTCTGGGCCTGAGATTATGTGAGACAGTGTGTGTGTGTGTGTGTGTGTGTGTGTGTGAGACCAGCGTGGAGTTTTAGAAAAATTATTCCCCACGGAGGTATAAGTTCCCTCCAGAGTTGAGCGCTCTGTTGCTAGCTATTTTTTAGACAGCAGCATGAGGAGCCGGACAACCTTTATTTAAACAGTTGTTGTTTCTCCTGACCCCAGGTTAGCCTTAGAAAAGTTCTTCCTCCACAATTATTTTAGAGTTACCAAGAGAAAATTCCAGACATATCTAGGCCATCCTTAAAAAAAAAAAAACAAGAAAAACAAAAAAACAAAACAAAAAAACCCAGCCCTCCTTTGTGGTGTTACATTCAGATAGGAGACTAAATGTGACCTCATTTAACTATTTGGTCTGTCAAAAAGGAGTGTCATGCCCACCACTGTTATTTTGAGTGGGTTCCTGCAAAAATTAAGTTTTTATGTGTTCTAGTAGGCAATGTACAATCTTTAGTCTGAAGCACAAATTGTAGCCCTGTATAAGCTATCTAGTACTATATAACTAATTGCTCTCAAAAACTTAAGAGGCTTAAGAGAGTAAACACTTATTATCTCAAAATTTCTGTCCAGAAGTGGCTTAGCTGGGGATTCTGTGTCAGCAGCTCTCACAGGCTGCAGTTCAAAGCTTGGCCAGAGCTCAGTCCTCCCAAGGCTCGGCTGGGGGAGGATCTCTGACCAAGCTTACTGCTGTGGCTGTTGGAGGCCTGAGAAGATCCACTTCCCAGCGCACTTGCGTGGGCCTCTCATCAGGACTGCCTGACAAAGGCAGTTGGCTTCTCGGAGCAAGCAATCCAAGGGAGAAGGGAAAGCTTCTAAGACAGAAGGGCAAACATCTTATGACCTGATCTCAGGAATGACACCCATTGCATCTGCTGTACTCTGTTCATGAGACGTGAGTTATTAGGTCCTGTCAAAGTGGCTAAAATGAGCAACACAAGAAACAACAAGTGTTGGCAAGGTTGTGGAGAAATAGGAACCCTTGTGCACTGCGGTGGGAATGCAAACTGGTGCAGCCACTGAGGAAAACAGTATGGAACTTCCTCAAAGGTTAAAAATAGAACTTCTCTACCATCCAGTAATCTTGTTACTGGGTATTTACCCCCAAATTACAGAAACACTAATTCAAAGGGATCCGCGTACCCCTATATTATTGTAGCATGATTTAAAATAGCCAAATTATGGAAGCAGCTCAAGTGTCTGCTGATTGATGAATGGATAAGGAAGGTGTGATGTATATACACAACGGACTATTACTGAGCCATAAAAAAAAGAATG